GTTCGCGCCCTTCCTTGCGGTCGTCCCACGTGCGCGCTGTCCACCCAACATCCTCCCCTAGCTCACTGCTCGCCTCTTCCGTAAAGTAAACGCCCGAGGCCTTAGCCTCGAAGCGTCGTGTGCGTTGCTCCCTTGTGCACGCCTTGCACCAGTCGACTGCGTCACCCGAGCCTTCAACCCTCGATCTCTTGAGCTTCTTGCTCGACCTCCTATGCCATCGTGCATGTTGGTACCCTCGTATACGGGCTCGTGCACGTCGCTTAGGCCATGCATGCATAGTTTTGGCCCTTTTTTCGGCCTTCTTGAGCCTTCTCGGCTATTGGACCTTCTTGTCGTCGGGGCTCGAAACCCACGTCTGCATCATTCCCGCCCCCTTTGAGAATGTCCTTGTCCTCAAGGACTCATCATAGAACATCCAAAATTCAGGCACTCGTTCTTTAACCGCGCACGCATCCCATTCATGGTCCTCCTCGACCTTGACCATGACCTCGCTCTTGGCATCGATAGTTTGTTGGGAAGTCGCCTCCTCTTCGACGTTTAGGACTTCGAACGTAACCTCTTCCTGGCCCTTCTCGTCCTCGACTCCATTGGCCTCGCTCATAACCTCTTTGTTGAACGAGTGCGGTTTCTCATACTCGACTGATTCCACCATAATTTCCACCTCATACTTATCGTGGTCGACCAATTCGGCCTCCGTCTCACTCTTGGACTCACCTTGGGCCTTGTCGCTTACTCGCGATTCCTCTTGCTTGATCTCAGCTTGCTCGTGCTCTCTCCTCGACCGATCGTACCCGTAAGGTGGTGGTCGCGCTTCATGCTATTGTGGTCGATCATCGTTCGCGGTTGGTCGATGCGCAATCCTTAAGCACTCGTCGAGCCGTGGGCGGTCATGAATGTTTGATGCCTGAGGCCACTGCTCGACATCCTCCTCTTGTTTGTACTCGGTGTAATGTCGATTGTACTCCCCGGGTCGTTTGCTCCCGTGTGGCCGCAGTGATGGCTTCGCCTGCCGGTGTTGGAAGTTGCGTGCCATCTCGTCGAACCTTCGGTTCATGTTCTCTATTAAATCCCGCACCGATGTCGTGGTGGTGTCGAACCCTTCGCCTAGGTTTCGGACTCGCATGCACAAGTTCTCGAGTTTGTTCTCCATCTCCTTGTCGGCCATGTCTTTCTTTTCTTGCCTTCGCTCTTTACTTCGAGGACTCATGATGAAGATTTTTGTTTTTTTCGATCCGCTAGCCCCTCTCACGAGCACACAACCTCACGATTTTTTTTTGATAGGGGGGACGAAAAAAAAGAAGAGAAAAAGAAAGGGAATGGGGTAGAATAAAAACACACGATCAACACCTCTCAATGAAAGCACCAATGATGAGGATCGTGTGTTTCGACTGCCGATAAGCCGCTAGCCCGCGCCTTGAATCGCCGATAGTGTTTCTCTAGCCACAACCGCGCCTATTGAAACGAATAAAATTGCAGTAGTATTTTGGTGAAAAGACTAAAGCAAAGTTGGAAGAACAAAGTTCTAGATTTCTATTGACTTCTTGGATAATTGAATGAATAAAAATAACATAGGGGAAGGGTCCTTTATATAGGCACAAATTATATCTAGTCCTAATCTACCTAGGGAATATTTAAAGCAATAAAACATTAGAAATCCTAATTAAGCTATAAATTATTAAGCAATAAGGAAATTAAATAACTTGGCTTGCACTCCAAGTTGGGAAGAAGGATCTAGGGAAAATTCAGCTCCAAAAGCCTTCTAGAAGTCCCAC